GTAAGTCTATTCATGATGAAATGTCAAAGCATACTGAGCATCTTTCTCTTTGACACCATGTCTGAAATCCCACGTGATCTGTCAAATACTAATGCATGAAAATCCTAACCTCAAAAAAATCACCCGTTATAAAGGTTACATTAAAATTTGTGATTGTGTCTAAAGTAGAGCATTTTATTACCCGTTTTAAATTGGTTTACAACCAAGAAAGATACGTACGTCATAAACCGACAATAGAAATGCTTAACTTTAGACATAGCTTTACTTTTAATCCAACCTTTAAATATAAAGTAAGCTTTATAGTTAAAGGTTACATCAGAAAACGGCCCTTAGTATAATCTCTACATGAGTATATGTATACTCTTGAGAGTCTTATCAGTAATTTTTGATAAAAATAAATGACATTCGCATGTCATTCGAGAGTGTAAATAGCAAAGTGAGCAGCCATCTCGCTGTTGGGAGCGTGAGCCATTGAGTGCATTGCGTGAATCAACGTATGTTTGTATGTATGTACGAGTAAATATACAATGTACGTGCTGGCGGTAGCTATATTTGAGAAGAAGGCAACGAAATGGGCAACGGTCGAGCGTAGAGTCCAAAACAAAAAGCGCAATGACAGCTGAGCGTCAAGTGAACGAGTGAAGAGCTGTGAAAGAGCAATTGCATTCGCAACCAGTTCATTGCACTACCGCCGCGACTACCTGCTGCTGCAGCCGGGCAATAAAGTAACCAATTCCATTTTCCGTGTTCTTTCTCAGCACAACATATGTTTTTATAAGTGCATATACGTACAGTGACGAGCAAAAATATTGGCACAGTGAATTTTTCGCAATATATGCAAAGTTTTGTATTCTAATTTAATTTCGATAATATTTTATAAAAATATACATAGTTAATTTTACACCAAAAAACATAAAAATAAAATCTCTAAACTTTTTTTATTGGAAGGTGTTGCTTGCTCATTTTCTTCATACAAAAAGTAATTGAATATACTTTGTATGGAAAAACTTGCGTGAAAAAAAATTATCAAAAATCAACGCAATTTTCTAGCGACTTCAAACTCACACTTTGTTATACTAAATTTGAATTGGATATAAAACTGTATTCTTAGAATTTTTCTAAAAAANATTATCAAAAATCAACGCAATTTTCTAGCGACTTCAAACTCACACTTTGTTATACTAAATTTGAATTGGATATAAAACTGTATTCTTAGAATTTTTCTAAAAAATCTGAATAAAAAGTTGCAAATTAGTGTGTAATTTTAATGAATTTTCCTGAGTTTTGTACAATGTTTTCTGGTATAGAATGAACAATTTTTTTATAAAAAATTACCGAAAATAAACTAGAATAAAAAACTTTGCATATTTTGTGAAAAATTCACTGCTCCAATACTTCTGTTCGGCAGTGTATTACATATATATGTACACTATTGCCCCATTGACATTTCTCTTTACTTTTATTCCAGTTCTTGACTTTCGCATGAATATTCACGCCTATTTGTTTGCTTATCGCTGGAGCTGATAAACAATTGCTGCAAAAAATCCAAATCAAACCTAATTTTTTAACAAAAATAATAAGTATTCTACACAATAACTAAAGTACTATAATATCTGTGCAAACAGCAGAGTGTGGGAGATGCGCTTGTGGAAAAAATTGACGTTAAGCTAAATTGTATTCGCAAGTGATATTGTATAAATAATAATAATCAAGTGCCGGCGATTTTGTAATCAGTTGACGCGCTCCGCTGCGAGAGTGAGGTACGAATTCTTTGAAGCAGGTTTCTTTGCGTATTTTTGGGTGTTTGTTTTAATTGATTTGAATGATACGTAGCATAAATTCAACTCCTTTGATGTGATTATGAACAAAGAAAGAAAAGTGCTATTAAAAATGCGAAAGTGTAATTTATCTCTCTTCGGCCTTAAAAATTATCCAATCATTATATTAGCTCGAGTAGATTTTTGTACAAATGAGAAATGTATTCCGAGAAATACATATGTATTTGTGCGTTATCAATCCCTACAAAAAATGAGACTAATCCGGGCTGACTCCGGGAGCAATCGCAAAGCAGCATGCGACTAATACCACTTTTGATCTCTTTATATGGAATGAACTGATCGCTTTTGTTCGGGCATGTCCTATGAAGAGACTAATTGTTCACATTTATACCCGAAAGGGTATGAAAAGCGACTAGTCACTTTTAAAAAATAAAAATAAAAATTTTCGCCAGCTGAGATTCGAACCGGGGTGCTCAGTTTTGTTAGGCGAATACTCTCTCTGTGTGCCAACGCTGCACATGAAATTTCATTGACTAAGAGCGTACATATCATTAAATCGTTAATAATGGGTGATTTTTTAAGAGCTTGATACCTTTTTTTTTAAAAAAAACGCATAAAATTTGCAAAATCTCATC